ATACGTCGACGATGATAATCTGTATTTATATACGAATAATGAAAGAAGAGGGTAATTGTGGAAGAAGTGGTATCTAAAGGAAATTAAAAATTAAATCAACTTCCCATGTAAAGATAGAACTTGAGATCTTCTTTCTCCGCAGTCACTTTGATTGCTAGAGTATTAAATGATTACTTCATGGTTATCCTCAAGTAAGGAAAAGTAGGTCAAAAATGGATCCAAAATCTGCTAACACAGATAGTTTCTATATCGTTCGTAGGTTACAAAAATGTTAAATTGGAAATCCTAGCTGATCGAGTTCGAAAATTATGGACGTTTTTGTATTTATCCCATGCATGTTAATGAAAAACAGAGTAGAACCAAATTGATGATATGAGTATGTATTTATAATTTGTTGATGGAAATACGTTTTTCATGATAATTATTGATATGTTTTTCATGATATTCATTCATTTGTTCATTTACGAGTTACCTTAATGATGCAATGCGAACAGTTTTTCTGTTTTTCAATGTAACTGGAAATCCGACTATCCTATTGTAAAATTGAATAATTTTTACCATTACAAGTGTAATTTCTGGAACAAAAATTGCCCAAACCACTTTTAGCCTAACCCAGGATCAACGACGAGGACGTAGTGGTTCACCGATCCCTTTTTCTTTTTTTTCCTTTTTTTTTCTTTTTTTTGTAGTTTTTTTTGTATTTTTTTTTTATAATTTCAAGAACTTTTTACGAATTTAACATTGCATAACATGGAATTTAAAGATGTAGCGAAGAAAATTCAGCTACTGCTTTCAATAGATTCGGTAAATAAGTATCACGATGAAAACCGTTAACTTTATAACGTTCCCAAAACTTTAAGAAATCGCGATGAATTGATTCGCCATTTTGCTCTGACCAAAATCCTAAGCCGTTATTTTTATCAATGTATTGTAAACTTTCTTTTACGTGAGCCAGAACAACGTGTATCTTCAAAGTTGTTGAGAGTGAGTCAATACTTTCCAATGCTTTTCTCAATTCCTCAACGTGATCATCAAGTAAAGGTCCAACTTTTTCAGAGGTGAAACAGCAGTTTACGACTTTGTCCATTGCTTTAAAGGCTGCAATATACGGTATTATTTTAAAAATACCTACGTCACTATAAATCTCTGGATCGTTGAGTCTATCTGACTCTTTTAACAGTTTCCTACATGCATTACCTTCGAAGGCATCTCCATGATAATTCTTAGAAATCAAATTTAGTTTCGTAGGCCACAGTAAAGCTTTTTCTTCGCCTAGCAGAGGTACTAATCCTTGCCAGAACAAGTGATTTACAACGCCTTGATGGATATGCATTTCGAGAATTACGCACTTTTGCAGAACATGGACATGCTGTCAATGACGATGCTCGTTTTCATTGAAAAGTGGAAGATTTATAGTGCTTTTACATTCTCTACTAAATTTCTTGTCATTTTCCATTCTATCGTATTTTTTGTAATATTCGTATTTTTTATGATCTCTCCTTAAGTCGCCGTATGTTTTTAATCTAGTCGGATTTTCATATTCTTCATCATCAGGCATACTTTTACAGGCATCATAATGTCCATTTGTTTCAGAGGTTGATTTACCTCTCATATCGTTCAATGATATGAAACAATAAGGACAAGGAAATGAAGATTTTGCAGTCTGTTGTCCATTAACCATAAGCAAAAGTTTGAAATCTGCAACAAATTTACAAGGAATATTATTAATTTTAGTTAAATCGAATAAAAGCTTGAGATTATCATAAGTTTCTTTTATTCCAAGAACTACTATAACAAGTCGCATTCTCGTTATGTCTCTCTCTCCCTGCAGCCAGTTTGTTTATTAATCATATTTATACTTTACCATGCATTATAATAATTTGTAATTTGTAGCGCAGTTGAAATGTCAGCGAACAAGGTAAGAGTCGAGTCCTACGATCTATACTATTGATAGTCCTTAGCGCGGATGTCGTGGAGTGACCGCGATCGCGAAGGGGAGAGAGAAGGAGAGCGCGCAATGAGTCAGTTGGCATGCGAGCAGAGACAAGTACGGACGTTAACATAGTTTGACAGTAACGATTTTTCTTTTGCGTTACGAGAGATCTCGAAGGAGTAAGCGAGTACGCAGTGGCGATTACATGAGTCCAAAGATCGCCAGCGATAAGCGAAGGCACATAGCTGATGTTAACAGGGATTCCGTCAGCTATAAGACTAAGAAGCGAGAACGCCCGCGTGAGTGTAGGGCAGGAGTAAGCGTGATCGCGATCTACTGTTCGTGCGTTGCTGCCGTTCTAATAGCCGACGACAACTACTGTAAGTACCTACTCGATTCTCTCTCTCTCTCTCTTAGGCTCTCTCTCTCCTATTGCTTGCTAACTGCATTTGTCACTTTAGTTTTTCGCCCGACTTACGCACCCTGTCGTTTTGCTCGGCATTGCGTCTTGCCTCGAGCCGCTTTAAGCGAATTCGTTGTCCGATCTTGTTCGGTCGCTGACAAGATCGGCGCGCTGCGTTGCGTCGTCGCCTTGTTCGCTGCCGCTCACATTTCGCCACCACGCGCACTTGTATGTATTCGTTAGTGCCTGAAATACAGGATTCGTTTCTATCAAAATCCGCAGCGATTTATTCCGATACACCTGCCTTATTGTATAACTACTTCGCCGCGAGACTTTTTAGGTTGTTCCTCACCAAGTAACCTGTAGCTCACGACACTCTCCGTAGGCCGAATTTCTACGTATGGAAGGAGGCAAGCTGATGCGGCTGGACCCAAGCACTGTTCGCGCTGGCACACAGGGTTGTCTTGGATAGCGCACTTCGCTTTATTAAAATATTAATCCGCGAGAATTATTTATTATATAACTGATTTAGCCCGAAAAGAGCACGAGCTAAAACCCCGTGATACTACATACAACAATATTAATTTATTTACACTAGATAACTTACCTTTTTTACTTAGACTGACACCTTCAGAATAACGCGTTCTTTTAATTGATTTATTCAAGTATTCCAAGTTGTCTGGATCATTTTCATCGTTATAATCCTTCTGCACAAAATTTCCTTCGTTCCATGCTTTCGGCGAATAATCTTCAGGCATAACAGTCAAACTAAGTTTAAAAAAGCTTTGTCCACCATCAGACATAGCTTTGATCAAAACATCTCCTATTAAGTCTCTACTTTTGATAATTTCATCGAGAAGTTTTTCGGCATCTGCGTAAACAACAGGTCGCAGCTGCTTCTCTGTTGTAGTTTCACAGTCAAACGCATGCATACCTGTTTTGTAAACATCTTTCAACAACTTAGATTTTTCCGACATACGCTTTCGATAATTTTTAGGAACACATTTTCATCCAACATTGCATCTCAAAAAGTTAGTAATTTTTTTCATTTGATTTTGAGAAGCTCCTATCTTGACTCGAAAATTATCTAAATTTTCTTCATCAAAAACAATATTTTTCTTTTCAATTTTATTTATCGTTACCATAGTGTTCCGTCCTCCACTGCTCAAGTTTACGTCTATATTCACAAGTTTTCCACTTGTATCAGAGTTAGAGTTAATGTTATTTTTTATCATATATGTTGCAATTTGCTGTTGGACTTTTTCAGGTAGACTGTCAACCACTTTAATTATATTTTTCTTCAAATCCTGACATACATGAGTTTTACCTCTGCCAATTTCTTGAAAACATTTAGTACATAATTTTATCAAATCAACAGAATCACTATTTTATTTCAACAAAGACTGCTTTGATTTTTTTGAATCATGGAATCCAACAGAAATATCAATTTCATCATTTATATGTCTAAATTTACCTCGGTCTTTCTCAGTTTTAGTATGACCCTTATAATTGGCAGTCTTGCATATATAGCAATCACACACACCGTTTTTCATACGAGTCTCTTTTGGTAATATGAGCTCTTTGTAATTAGGCATGGTTGGTACTTGCCTATTGTAAATTTCCTTTTCAATGTCAAGAAGTGTTAAATAACAAGATCTACATAAGCTTAAAGGATATTTCTCATCATTCAGGTCAAAATCATCTGATATGAGCTTTTTTATAAAACTTTCAGTAGATCTACTTATCAAAAATTTTTCTAGCTTTATTCTATCAAAAATAATTTTCTTACCACAAGTTCCATATACTTTTTTTCGGTTTTCATGATGAGAACACGTAGGAGACATTTTAGAAGCAGTATCTTTGAAATACAACTCCAAAGATTTTCCTGGTGGTATCCAACCTTGTAGAAATGAAATTGCATAGTGGTATTTTTCATGGTATATATCTAACTAAGACATGAATTTTCCTTTCACAGATTTTCATGCGCCACCTAGCGGTATGACTGGAAACTCTAGATATTGTAATAAATATTATTCAATTTTATTCAAAAAATCATAGCGTTAAAAATAGCGAAAGCAATTTGAGATACGTTGAAACAAAAAAAATTTATGAAACTCCATTATTTAGAAAATTCATAGATTTAAATATAAATAAATATTAAAAAAAACATATTTCCATCAACAAATTATAAATACATACTCATATTATCAATTTGGAGTCGGGGGATAAGTTATTTGTGTGAACGTCAATGTTCTACTCTGTTTTTCATTGACTTGCATGGGATAAATACAAAAACGTCCATAATTTTCGAACCCGATCAGTTAGAATTTCCAATTTTACATTTTTATAACCTACGAACGATATAGAAACTATCCGTGTTAGCAGATTTTGAATCCATTTTTGGCCCACTTTTCCTTACTTGAGGATTACCGTGACTAGTTTGTATTATGGAAGCATATTGTCCTATTTTCTTAAATCTTCTCTACAAGAAAGTCACATAGTTACGTAACTTTTTTCATAGATAACGTTTTATCTATATTTATCATGATTGTGAATATTTATATCTTTGATTAAGTTCATACGTAAAGAATTACAAATAATAGCGCGATTTGCTTTTGTCAGTTTCATATTCATAAATGTTCAAAATTTGATATTCTGTTTCAGTTGACGTTACATTCATCGTAGATATTCTTATAAACTTTCGCACTACATTTGTAAATAGTAACGACGAAGTTGTATCTCATCCAGGAAAAATTGCTGTTCATTATTTTAAAGGATGGTTTATTATAGATCTTGTAGCAGCTATTCCTTTTGACCTTTTATTATTTGGTTCCAACACTGATGAGGTGAGTTCCTTTAATATGAATTAATTATGAACTAAGAATCCCTTCTTTAAAAATAAAATATCACTTTTTATTTATATCACAAATTGCTTTAAAACATAAAAAAATTTTTAAGCAATTTACTCCTTTTTTTTCTTCCTTTTTCTCTTTTTTCTTTCTTTCATCTTCTCTCTCTTTTTATTCTTTGATTTTCATTCTAATATAAATCTGTTAACACTGGCAAAAATCAGATTTTCAAATTCCTAAAAATACACTTTTATTTCATATATGCATAACGAGCATAGAGTGTTTTGATGAAAGCGTTCATCCTTCCCCTCTCTGCTTTTCTTTCTTACCATTACTCGTTAGCTAACGCGTCTTAGTCGTTAAGTTACTTCGACCTAAGGAATAGTTCTAATACTTTGACACAAGCGGTATTCATATACGTACTGTCACATACCTATCTACTCGTATGTATACCATTTTTTGTAATAAATTCTGTTAGTACTAGAACAACGTGGATCCTTTTATTCATTTTTTCGTACAACGTAAAACCCCATAACTAAATAACGTAATTATAATAAATAATTCAAGCAACCTGTAGAAAACTTTCAAGTAAAACTATCAAAAACTGCGAAACTAGTTCCAATTTTACTGCTGCCTCAATTACTACTAGGCCGAATTCTCACATGCGGACACTTTGGACAATCGGGCAGCTCGCCGAAGAACAGATGTGGTAGGTATTTCCAATAAGGAAAACATTCAAATAAATTAGTTATGTTATTTCTAAAGATAAATTTATTACGCAAATGAAATAATGATGTACTAAAAAATAAAAAATTCATAACTAAAATTAAAAAAATATGAATAAATAAATGTAAAAGCAATGAATGACTCAAACAACGGAAGAGAATATTAATGTATTTAAACTTATGTATTTTTGTGAATATTTTATAGCATTCGTGGTATTGATGAAAATATAATCACAAATGCCTCGAACAAAAAAGCAATTTTTTCGTAATCTTGTTGATAGCGTAGTCTAGACACTCATCAATTCAAAAGGGAATTGCTAAGAAACTGAAACATGTAGAAGAATACGCAGAATCATAGGTTTGTCTGCAAATAGATAAAAAACGTCTGTTCGAGAACGAAGAATTATGTATGCTCTAGGAATATTCTAATATGTAAAAGCATGCTGGTGAATGAGTTTTATATTATATCTTCATTTATTTCAATTTGGCGTAATGTATTTTACATTATTTTACTATGGAAAATGTAGTTATATATAGTTATATATAATATGTATATTATTTATAGATAGTAATAATATTCTTCTAATTGTACCTCATGTAAGATATGAATATACTGCTTCTATAATTACAATGGATATCTATTGCGAGCAGTTTTGTAATACTTGTACTATAATTATACTATTTTTATTGCATCAAATTAAATGGATAAATATGAAATATATGAACTGTAACGGGGGAGGTTATCTGAAAAATGGAAAATTTATATAAGAACAAATTCCCACGATGCAGAACAAACCGCCGCTCCGTTAAACACGTATGATAGTACGTGTATTCGCCTTAACGTCAGATGATTTATCCTAGTTGTCTTCTGTTAAACGGAGTTGAACTCACCTTAAGTGACGTGTCTTGTGACACTCGTTGAGTTTCAAGTGTGAGCGACTTTACTTCTAATCTTCTTAATCCCCTATATGTAATTGGATTAAAACCTAAGCCTTTTTCAATTACTTAAGCTACTAGGAAAATTAAATTACGAAAACTGTAAATAAATTTCACAGACTTTAATTAATAAAAATTACTACAGTCTTTGTAGGGCCGAAAGACTGACGCACGCGAATAGGATTTTACAATTAACTATTTTCAATGAGAATGAGAGAGAGAGAGAGTAGATTCGAATTCTACCGCGAACTAACGCTCGACGCAAATACAAAAATTAACGCTAACACGATTAAACAAAATACCAAATGTATTTTATATCACATATAATGACGGAAGGTGCACCTACCATGCGGTGTAATTACGGTGATCAGCCGTAGTTGTTGTTGCAAAAAATCTCAACTGCCGTTGCCCCTCGATTATCAGCTGCGCTGCCTCGATCTGCCTCAATATAACTTTGCTGCTGCTTCTGTACTGCTGCTATTATCTGTCACGGAAATGCCGTTGCACTCACGCACGTAATTGACCCAAAGAAAACTTTATTTTTGCAAAACAAAGTGCAAAACACAAATCGGCGGTAAACACTCGTGAACAGTTGAGGCGAAACTAACTATTCAAAAGATCGCGTGCCCCCTCTCTCTCTTAACTGTTAGAACTAACGCGCGAGAAGCAGAATCGCGAACGGTTCGATTAATTAAATCGACTACCGTTGCAGAACTCTGATGTATTTACTATTAGTATATTAGACTAATATAATAGATAGTACTATTAGATACGTGTGTATTTACTATTAGTATTATTTTGTCTGTACGAACTTAAGTATTATTTCCTATAATGAATATTATAGGCTGTATATTATTATTCCTTCTACAAGTGGACTTTTTTTATTTTTCAAGTAACATGACTAATATTTAAATGTTTTCTTTAATGGAAATACCTACATCTATTATTCGACGAGTTGCTAGCCGTCCGTGTTAGATAACGCGGCAAAGTGGTCATTAAAGCATCGATAACATCGTTTTTAATACTTGTGCCTGAAAAATTTTTTACAGTTCCTTGAATAATATTATGCATTAAGTATAAATATAATATAATGAAAGATAAAACTGAAAATGATATTTCACAAATATAGAATATATATAAGTTCTATTAATCAAGTGACGTCATCAACATATCTCTTCAAATTTTCAAATTTCGCCAGCTAACTATGTTGATTATTTTACTCTCGCTGCTTCTTGCTTTTGGATATGCATAGAATCTCAGCGGTCACAGGTATAGATTATAATAAGTCGCATCATTACTGTTGCTATATTTTTCAATTTATTTCGCTATTTTATATGGGCAGCATTGGTAAATTTTCCTTTTATAGTACCCTCACTTTCAAATTTATGTTTGAATTATGATCCGATTTTAATTTCTAGTTCGCTTATCAAAGTATATCAAATTAGATTTAATTCGTAGTAAGTCGCATGCGCGTACAATGAATTCAAACAGGTGTCAGTCAATCACGTGCGCGCGCCTTTAGCTATTTTCTCTCTCTTTTCACTTCATTCGCTCTCCCTCTCTCTTTCTCTCTCTCTCTCTCTCTAAATTGCTCTCCTTCTCTGTCTATAGTTTAGCCGACTTATTGATGCTAGTCAAAATGACCGCCGCTCGTCGACGTGCGTTCCGCTCTCGGTGTGGGTTGGGTTTAAATTTCCGCCTCCTGGAGCATTTGGTCGTCTCTACAGTTACATGGGTCTAGTGTGTGTTAGTAGGGAACATGGTTCTTCCCTCATAGTGACAGCGTGGCACTTCGATTGCTGTCATCTTCTACGAGCTACCGGCGACAGTAGATTGCCGGTTGCTCATCTTCGTTGGCTGCTGCAGTGGCTCTGGCAGCTGAGTTACCTTGAAGGTCCGAGGCAAATACGTGTACCGCGTAAGTCATCAACGGATCGGTTTTCCATGCAGTGCCGGATTAAGCAATTTCAAAAACATAGGCAAACGTGGTGGGGACCTACTTAAGTAAATGATTTTGAGCTAATTAATTATGAAAATTGATATCGAAATTAAAATTACAATTGATTGAGATATGCTAAAAGAATTACATTTATTTTCATAAAACTATTATTAATAATTATACATTAATATTTTGGTAACATTTTTGGTATGTTTGATTGAATAAAACATTATATCAATACTTTCCGAGATTTTCTCTCAGCGAAATCATTTATTATATCATCGCAATTCAAACTTCTTAATGTCACTTTCAATGCTCATAATTGACAGATCGTTCAGACCATCTTGCTTCATAGATGCTCTTAATCTATATTTTATCAATTTGAGTTTTGAAAATGATCGCTCACAGGTGAAGTTTGTTGTCATTAGAGTTAAATATATTCTTAATAAAATACAAATATTTGGAAAGATATTGATTATAAACCTGAAAAATTTTAAATCAAAACATACATTTTCTTTTTCATGAATACTAATAAATTCTTTTACAAATTCTTTAAATTACAATAATTCATTAATCAATCTGTCCTCCAAATCATCTTTATAAAAATCTGTTAATTTAGCAGCATGGGCTCTGATCTCTTCAGTAGGCAGATTTTCTAGATTTCTTAAAAATCCAAAATAATTGTTAGCTTCTTCATACGCACTAATTCTTTGATTTAAGGACGTAGCTAATTGATCGATAACAGGAAGATAGCTATCAACTCGAAATTTATTGAAGTCTGTGAGGTTAACGTCTTTTGTACGACCGTAATCAAGAGGGTTGAGCCTAACATTTCGTCGGCGTGTTCTTTTTTGTGATTGTTCGTATGTCTTACATTCAGAAATTTCTTTACCTAACTTCTCGTAATGTGTGAAATTATCGCGCAGCGACTCAACAAAAGCCTTTAATGATTGAAAAAGCTCAGTGGAAGTGGTTAAGTCGGCATTGGAGCTTTGTAATTTAATGCTTGTTGCATTTATCCTCTTTAATACATTTTTCCAAAACACAAGATATATACTAGTTTTTAATTTTACTATCATATTATATAATCCCTGTGCTTCATCATTAGTTGCTCATAATTCCAATAACACAGAAGTGTATTGTTTTATTCCTTTCTTAACAGATTTAACAGCCTCTGATCGATCCGACCACCTAGTTAAATCAATTTTCTTGATTAAAATAGGACGATCTTTGTTATTAGCTTTATTATCTTGCTTCAATGCTTGAACCAACATGTCAAATCATTCAGTTAAACTAGTAAAAAATACATAGAGTTTCTTTAAAAAATGGAAAAATGATTTTGCTGCTAAGCAACACTTCATTGCTGCCGTACCTACCAGATTCAACGAATGCCCAAA